GATCACCCTAGGGGGGGACCGCCCTGCCAAAGGGCCCCTTAAAACCCCTCCTTAAAAAAATGGGGGTGATTTAGGTAGGCAAACCCGCTACACACCTATTAAGGGTATCTTGTAAACGGCTTTAGATAGAGTGTCGGCGACACTACCATTGTCATGAGCGTCAAAAGTTTACTCAGGAAGCGTTTCTTAAATTGTACATTGATGTTCAAGAGGTAGATGTTTTGAACACTACGGGCACGTCCCTTACCTAAGGGATATTTCGCGGCCCTTTGACAAGGAGACTGTCCCTATCCAAAGGGGCTGGCCCTTCCATGGGGACCGTCCCTATACCAAGGGGCCGCGAAATATCCCTTTAGTTAGGGACGTTAGGGATTTTTTCCCTTGTCTCGAGACATAAAAAAATAAACTTCCCTTTTGAAACGATGTTAGAAGTTCGGGGTAATAACTTTGACTCTTACCATAACGTTATGATGCCCTTATGAGTAAGTTAAGGATCCCTGACGTTGAGGGGGCAACCACTCGCGAAATCCTGGGCACACTTAAGTGACCTAAGTCTTCCATGAAATCAGTAGAAATCTCGTGCAAATCTGGTTCAATCTAGCAAAATCTCGTCTAAATTTGATGAAATATCACAAAGTCTCGCAACATTTTGCTAGAGGCACGAAATCTCGTGCGATCCCTTCCTGCATTGAAAATTCGAACGCGACGAAAATTGCCCCTTGTAAAGGAAAATATCTGGGAAATGTATGGCAATATTTGACGCCATATATGTTGCATTCACTGGTAAAACTAAAGCGTAGCATTACCCACTGTTTTCAAGCGTAATCAGGTTACGCTTGAAATCAAGCGTAACAGGCTCATCCGCCAAGATTCCCCCTATCTAAATGCATGGGGCAATTTCTAGTCTATGCTTGATTTCAAGCGTAACGTCTTCAAGCGTAACTTTATGCTTGACTCAAGCATACAGTTACGCTTTAGTTTTACCAGTGTTGTGTCAATAATCAATATAATTGAATCTTGCACAAAACGTGGCAATGGGCATGAAGATATAGCCTCTTCTGGATTGGCATTTTCAAATCTTCCAACGCTATCTTTTTCCTATGCAAAAATAGATATAATCGTCAAAATCTGAAGACTGGGTAGGTAATCCTTTGTCGTGAGGAGAATTTGGGAGAAACGACTAAAAGTTAACGCAAACCTCTACAACTCAAAATCTGATAGGAGTTGCCCCCCCCCCCAACTTTAGGAACAAATTCATCTAGTAATTGTTGAATTTTGACCTCAAAATGGACTTTCTGTGACAAATATTTGTAGGACATGCCAGTTTTACTTCATACTATCCTTAATTCCTCAGCAGCACCAGTACTTAAAATTTGACGAATTTGAGGGAAAAAGGGAGGCGTGTTTATACTCCATGAAAGTCTAATACCAGCGATCAAGAATTCACTAACACCCATCAGAATCGTCGCTATCCAAGAACCACATGCCGTTGCAGTAATGAGATTAAAGAAATGTAAAAGTCTCATTTCAACGCGGTGTAAAATGCACTTTGAATAAATTTGCAGGGCCGAGCATCCCAGTTCAGGCCGCACCCTAGAATTGTACTCCGATCAACCAGGGATACATCTCTTCACCTCCAACAACTTACCAGAGTAAGGATCGGTCTGTTCTAAGATAATTGACGACGGATGAAAACTTCAGCAGGCTGGAACCCGGAACAAAATTCCAAATGACTATTTTGTAGTTGTTTCGAATCTTCGCTAAACGCGTGCAATAAAGGTCCCAAAGGTGCTATACTCCAAATCCTATAGTGATACTTCTAGAACCTTTTCTTGATATACAATTGGGTACTATCGCCAACAGAAGGCCACGCAGAAAATCTTGCTGTCAAAGAGGTGATAAACACAAGTATCGCCAAAATTTTGCGAACTTCGAATAACTTAAGGGCTTAAGTTCATTGTTTGATGCCAGATTTTACAAAATTTTGACAATACTTTAGTGTATTGGCGTTTTGAGGGCAAGATTTTTCGGTAAGGCCATTTGTTGGCGTTACTTCAATGCATTGCAAAAAGGGATACCGTCGCCTTCGTCCATATAGCCCAAGGATTTCACTTTTTAAAACGTAACGGAAAACCTATACAAACTAAGGAACGGTTTTAATTTAGGTTTTCCTTGGGCTACATGGACGATCGCAGGTTTAAGTAAAGAGGATTTTTTCATCTTCAAGATGCCGCAAACCGATTGCCTAAAAGTTAAGAACTTCCGGAGAAAATTGTCGCGCAGTGAAATTTTGTATGTTTTGTCGGCTTTTGTTGCATTCCCTATAACTCCCTTACAACTGAAGACAAAACAAAATATTTTTTTTGAAAATGTTGTAAAAATTCTGTTTTTTTATTTGGTTTTTACCGTTTGTCTCTAAGAGGTATATTTAAAAAATCATCGTCATCAAAAGAGCGAGGGAAAACCCCCTAAAAAAGGGTACCGGGACGAGACTGCCCCCTTAATTTTTAGGCTGCCAGCAATTTTTCTCAACTGCGAGTTGCCTTGAAAGGGCATCTCGGTCTCCGTTTTCAGCACTCGCAGGCATCGGTCGAAATTTGTTATCGGAGTTTGAAGTATGTACTCCATTTAATTATTAATGCATCCATCTATTGTGCTTGTTCCACTCAGCTCTTCCGGCACGAAGGCAGCTGTCGTCGGCAAAGGAGGAGTGCACTATGAGAAGCACGGCGCGTTCTGCGTGTACAGTCAAAACTACTACGACTCACTACACTATGTGAGTTCCAAAGCTTTGAACCGACCGCAACTCTGATTCATACTTTGCGGTGTTAATTGAATGTCTTCTTCGTTAACCCACTACCACCGCGCACGCGCACAAAACCATCAGCGTGACTTTCAAGTCATTCAGTGGCTAGAAGAACAATGTTTCTCACGGTTTCCTGCGAAAAGATCTTATCTGGTACACTCTAAATGTCTTACAGTGAAATTTCACCTATGTTATTCGTATGTTACAGTGAATTCGGCGCAAGCATAATACGAAGCAATATTCCTTCGTAATACGAATCTTTTTAGCTTTTTCATTGTAAGATACAAAGAAAAACCTTCGTAATACGAAGAAAAACCACCCTTTGTATTATGCTTGCGCCATTTCCTTCGTATTATGGGAAATTTCTTCGTAAGACATTTAGAGTGTAGCTCTCGAGAGAAGATGCTGTTCCTGAAATGTAGGCGGATTTCCTAACTCCCGCTTTGCAGCTTGTATTGAAAACATCACTCTCATTCCAGGCACGTGACATCACGTTGAAACGAACGTGGCAAAATGTCACGTTCGTTTGAGCATTGTGTCACGTTCGTTTGAATGTGAACAAGCTGATTTTTGGCCAATTCACACCCAAATGAATGTGACACAATGCCCAAACGAACGTGACATTTTGTCACGTTCGTTTCCCCGTGATGTCACGTTCCTGGAATGAGAGTGATATTATGTCCTCCTAACTGACTGAAAAGGAAAGAACAAAACCTGTTGTGCTGAGCTACTGCACTACAAACCTAACTGTGTACTAAGTACACACTTACAAATGCGTGCTTGCAAGTACACACTTACGAACGCATGCTTGGCCAAGTACACACTTACAAGGTAGGTTTACGCCAGACCGCGTCTTGTCGTAACAGGCTTCGCGATGTCTCGCTGCCTGTTCCTCCAATCTACGCCTGGCGCACCTACCTTGGCCTGCGGCGCTAGCCTGCCTTCGGCAGGCAATGGCTCGTCCGTTGTCGGTTATTTTTTAACTTGTTGAATGCTGGGGGAGTTGTTTTATCTACAGATAACACGATCTTGACCCTTGTCACTTTTTAACTTGTCGAGGCTGGGGGGCTCCGCCCCCCAGACCCCCCTTTCTCCAAGACAGAAGTGGTCTATCTGCAGAAATCTCTATTTTTCACCGTTTTTAGGTGTTTTTCGCCTATGAAAACTGAACCAGTTGAGCTAGGATGGTGAAATTTCGCGTGTGCCGAGCCAAGGACATACCTAAGAAGTGTGCAAAATCTCACCGAGATCGGCCGAGCCGTTCAGGAGGAGTAGTGCGGACAGACAGACCGACAGACAGACAGACAAAACTTTTCAACCCCACTGGAGTAACAGGCTTCGCTATCGCTCAGCCAACAAATGCATGCTTGCAAGAACACACTTACAAACGCATGCTTGGCGCCGTATAACTCCATGCGTCAAGCATGCGTTTGTGTACTTGCAAACATGCATTTGTAAGTGTGTACTTCCCGGGCGGAAGGATCTGTAGTCTGAACAGCACTTCTTCACTTGCGTTTTACTTAACTTAACTTAGTGTTTTAAGTAACTTTGAATTATAAAAAAAGTGGAAGAAAAGCCAAGAATTTTCTGTGTTTAAACTATTCTGTAACCGTAATTTACTACAAAAAGACTATAGAATTTTATACAAAAAGTGTAGAAAAACTGCAGAAAAAGTACCAGTTTTTTCGCCCAACTGCAGTTTTGACTACAGTTTAAACCAATTTTACACTGCAGTGAATGTACTTATTAAACATAGTTACACCTACAGAATTCACTTAAAAAACGAATGCAGTTAAAGTGTAGTGTTAAAAGTACGTGTTTAAAAAATGAATTTGAACGTTCAATTTTCCTACTTCTGTTGCATTCTGTTGCCCCCTTCGACCTTCCATGGCCAACTTCCTTCTCGTCTGATGATGAAATCAGATACTTTGCGGGGAATCGAACCTCGCACCTTTTGGTTGCGGACCAAGTGCCTTATCCACTGGTCTACGCCACCTGCCTGGGAAGGCCATCCACCCAACGCGATCACATAATAAGGCCTGGTGCCGCTGGCATTAGCAGGGAAACTCAGTTAGAACTGCAGTTTTTCTTCAGATTCTTCTGCACTCTCTAACCACGACACTACCATGCAGTCTAACTGCCTAAGAACTAGTCATCAACTGCACTTACTTCTGTACTTCTTATCTATTGTAGTGACTATAATTTAAACTAAGTCAAAACTGAAATCTTTCTGTAGAGGCGCTCTGTAATAAGGCTGAAGACCAGGACAGCAATTTATTATTAGTTAAAAGTCAGTGATAAATGCACATAAATAGAAGTTTTCAACTCTAATACTTTTGCAGTTTCTTTTGATTACTGTTCCAATACTGCAGTTTTTCCACTGAGTTCAAACTACACTTGAACTGCAGATCCTTCCACCCGGGTTAGTAGACAGTTAGGTTTGCAGTGTGCATTAAGAATTCATGTCTGTTTCCTGACCACCCGTACCAAATGATCCAATCTTGAGAAATGTCCACCTGCATTTGAGATAAGGTGATAAGATAAAGTGATGAAAATATCATCGAAGTTTTTGTCACAAAGTGACAATGTCACAAATTTTCTAAGTGTGGCTCGTCCTGGCTACTGCCTGCAAATAGTATGATAATACCTTGAATAGGGCCCTGCAATATGGTGTCTCGATATTCAAAACAGGAACTTCGTATTTCTTCCTTCGAAATTCTCCTTTCAACATTTTGTTTACGCTGTTTCAGGTGAAGAGTGTTCCAGACTCGGTGCTTCGTCCTGGAGCAGTGTACAAACACAATATACTATTCAAATTTGGTGTCAAACAATAAAACATTCGCAGTTTGAAAACGTGAATGACTCTGAAGAAAATTAAGTTTTTCCAACTGTACATGTTTACGGCTGTTTCCGCGCGAGCGCGTGATCACTTGCCTCGATTCCTCTACTTTCATATTTAACTTCAGTTTGAATTGAAGTAGCTACTTTCGTGGTTACTTCACTCATATCGCCTGCAAATCACTGTTAAAAAAAGCCGTACATTTCAAGGAAAAAGGTACGGCTAGACCGTACCTCACGGTGTACAGAACAACTATACCAAAAAACCGTGCTTCCCATAAGAGCCCATGTTATGAAAAACCGTACTCCGTACCCCAAAAGCCGTACTGGCTGAGGTACGGTGGTACCAGACAAATTGTCGACCAGACTGTGCCTGTACGTCTAGCATTTCTCATTTAAACCTATGGTATGCGCTGACATTTCTTGTTTGTCTTCTCAAGACGAATCCGGTTCTATAAAGAAATGTCGATTTGGACAATTTTGAAAATTCACTCCAACCCCTTGGAAATATAATTAAGGCATTCCATTGGATTAAAAGACAGATTTCAATAAAGTTGTATTTAAAAGTATGAAAGACGTGTTTAGCGACCCTCAGAACCCACGGGTTCAAAATTTCAGGCTTGAAGTGCAGTTTTTCGCGTGGAAAGTGGTGTTTCCGCCCACTGTGTGCCGCAGGCCAAGGTAGGTGTTGACGCCAGGCGTGGATTGTCGGAACTGGCGATGTATTTTGAAATGCACAACATTGAGCGTAACTAAGCACAGAAGCGTGCGTTGCTGCGCATGAAATTCGCCATGTATTTCGTGCATATCGAAACACATGCTCAATTTTGTGTGGAGCTTATGCACGTAAAAGAACATAGTAGTTTAGTATGTCGAAAGGGGAAGACTTACGGTTATAACCCGTATACAGGTTGTAAGTCACAACTTATTATTTCTTCTAAAAGGGATGGGTTGTATTTGAAGCTTCTCGAATTAGTGTTTGGAAGTGCCTGCAGCATTTCATACCCTTAATGGCTTAACCTTCAGCGAATATTTTTTCTGTAACGTTATGAGAGCAGTGAGGCTGAAATGTTACGTTCAGGACCCCTGCTACATTTTAGTCTTGTTTATAGATTGAAGCAGGTAGGATTGATGTTTAGAGGTCGTAGTTGGGTTCAGTTGAGTTTATACCTAGAGATGACTGTATAATTCGGAGAAATTAGACGGGGCACAAAACTGACGCATCTCAAAGAGGCTTCGACAGCTGTGTCTTGAGGCATTGCTTGGCCGTCTCGAAGGCTGCTCCATCCTTGATGCCGGCCTTGGACAGGCACTCGTTGATCGGGTTGATGACGCTCTCCTTGGTGGCCCCCTGCTCGTTGATTGGAGTAATCCCCGCACGGAAGCGGCAGTCGTCGCTCGGACGGTAAATGCCTCCCTTGGGCACGGCAGGCAGGGGCTGCAGGCACTTGGCGATGCGGCTGTTGATTTCGTCCACCTGGTCGTCGGTGTAGCGGCTCTGGGGGACAAGGCATCAATGCACACAGTGTCTGAGTCTTGCCTCTCTCATGAGGGTTGTATGAGGCGCTTGTAGCAAATTTTAGCTGGTTAGTCTTCAAATTAAAAAGAAAGCAAACTGCCACTTGTAAGTACTTCCACTCTAAATCCAAAGGTGATACTTTAGGTATCTTTTATGGCGATACAATTGAGTACCGCCAACAAACGGCCTTTCGAAAAATTCGTGCCTTCAAAACGGCGATAACGAAAGTATCGCCTCGGATTACTGCCAAAATTTGGCAACAAACTTTGTTTAAATTAGGGGGACTAGAATCTTGTTTATTGCCAAATTTTAGCGATACTTTTGGGTATCGCCGGTTTGAAGGCAAGATTTCTTTTTTGGCAAGGCCGTTTGTTGGCGATACTCGATTGTATCGCCTTAAAAAAAAAGTTGCAAGTATCGCTGATGGATTTGCAGTGTCCATGTAAATTTTCCTTTCTGCACGGCATAAACGGTACCTGGGTAGGCATCCCAGGGAATCTTTTATCTTTTTTGTGGCTACCTGGGAAAACGCAGGGAACGTTTTTGCCGTGTGAGCTGTAAGGGAATGGGTCGTGCCCGACTAAACCATCGCCTAAAAAGTCGGAAATCTGTTACTTCTAATTTTTAAGTCACGAACGCTTTTTGGCCCGCCCTTCTATTCAAAAATAGGGGGAGGGCCTATGCATTTGCCTTTGTGTCTGTGTGTTGTTGTTGTTGTTGGCGTCTGTGTACAAGGAAGGAGTTGAGCTAGAGTAACCAGATTTGGAGGGTACTTCAGGAGTACCGTCCAAACAAATAATCCGGTGGTGCAAATCCCGTCCGGGTCGCACAAGGGCTGCTGCAGGTGCATCATGGTTTACATGAGCGGGAGGGGGATTTCCGCCATTATTGGTGCTAGCAGGGCACATAGGGGTATTTTTGGAATCGGGGCGACGAGACAAGATGAATGGACCTGGTCCCGACCCCATCGGCCGCTTTTACAAGTTGGCCAGATCAGGATCTTCAAAAAAGGGGGTCGACCGACTAAAAAAAATTATTGCAGATTTCGATTGGTCTCAGCAAGACCTTTTCAACGAGGGGTCGGAAAGGGGGTCCAGGAGCCCGACTTCGTCTATTAGTCACATCAGGATCTTCAAAAAAGGGGGTCGACCGACTGAAAATTTTTACTTAAGTTTTCGATAGGTCTTGGCAAGACCTCTTCAACGAGGGGTCGGAAGGGGGGTCCAGGAGCCCGCCTTCATGAGTTATGGGAAAAAGTGCGACGGACTCGTTTTGCGCTCCTGCTGTGCCTCTATTGCAAGGAGTTGCAGTAGCATGGAAAATATGGGTATTTTCGGAATGAGGGCGAAGAGACAAATGAAATGGGCATATTCTAAGGACAGTTGGAGTAAAAAGTGTAAGGACTATTGCATATTGTGAATAGAAGGGCGGGCCTAAGTCACGATGGTACATCGATAACCTTGCTTTACCCGCTCACGGTGTGTGTGATGCGAGCGGGCCAAAGGCCCGGGCCTTCGACTGGCCAAGTTGGGTCTGATGCGAGGGCCGAAGGCCCGAGAAAAGGCCGCCGGCAGGCCAAGCTGGGCCGGCCCCCTGTCGAACCGAGTTGCCGGCGCAGCGAAGCGGAGCTGGCAACTCGGTTCGACGGAAGGGCGGGCCCTAGCTTGTCTATGGGGTTCTCCGCGTCCTCTTCCGGGATAGAGCCGCTCACCTTCGCCACCTGAAACACGCCAAACCAACTGTTACGCTCAATACAATACATTATTTCGCGCTTGTGGGCGTGGACCGAAGGTTCTCCGCGAATTGTTGACGACGTTTGTGCTACGCTGGCAATTTGTAAGAAACTCCTGCAAGTGTGGGCAACGTGGCTGATTTGGTGGCCCGTGGCTGCGGCGATCCGTGCACGGCCGATTTCGCCGTGTGTGCAATCTGAGTATGTACCTCACGGACGATGCGTCACGGAACACCCACGGAAGCGTGGGGCACTGCACATCACGTGCACTTCAAATGTATCGCACTATTTGGTGCATTGACAACGGCCTCAAACTCAGCCAGGGGGTGGCAACGGCCTAGGAAGAGCGTGAAGCGATGCTCGCGCCGTCAGTGCAGAGGTTGCGCACTTATTCGAGATGATGAAAACTAGACTGCTTTTCAAAACGCTTTGCACCGATGGAAATGGCTTGAAATTTAGGGTGCATTAGGCTTATTGCTCTTCTCGAAACTCCCACCTTACCTAATATGAAGTAGGGGTAAAAACACCAAAAGACACGAAAAATCATAAAATTTAGGAAAAACTCAAATGCGCCATGTTGATGTAAATGATTCCGCCCTTGTGTTCGGTTGAATTGGAAGTATCGGGCAATCTACTAGGCCTAATGCACCCCAAATTTTGTGCTCTTTTCATCTGTGCAAAACGTTTTGCAATCAACGGGCTAGGTCTTACAATCGAAGCAAAATAAGTAACCCCTGCACCTCGCTCGAGCATGGCTTCACGCACTTCCTAGGGCGTTGCCGCCCCCTGACTCAGCGCACTAAGTGACGCTACTCTGATGTCGTTTGGATTCTCATTTACTTACAGCAGCTGCGAACAGCGCGAAGCAGAGGACGATGACGATCTTGGAGGCCATGGCTAGAGGTCTGGACGGAAGGTCGATGCTGCCACCGAGTTTGCGTGGCGCTTTTATACCTCAGCGACTTCGCTACACTACACCCGTCCCATAATGGCGTCTCATTGCTGAGGCGAATGTCAACAACAAACAGACAGGTGTCTTTGGTGCCTTCCAAGAGTGCCGCCTCATTTCGAAGAAACAGGTGGCGTTTCCTGCGAATTGATAGTCATCGTCGCAGGCGGGGGATTCCGCTCGTGTACTGTTATTCGAATACCCACTGTCTGTGCAAAATAAGAACTAAACTGTTTTGACATGTTGAAGCCCCTCTTAAAATTTCAATAAAAATTGAAATTTCGCTTGAATATTTTTAGAAGTTTCCTTAAAATGTCTACTTCAATGTTTAAAATACTCTTGTTTTTTTTTACACCGCACCGTCCTTAGTGCGTTCACGCCACATCGGCGTGACCCAACCGTCATGTGGTTTTCCGCTGTGACTTTCCACTGTCACGCTGATTTTGACGCGGGCGCGGCATTTTGTCATGTCATGATTTGGCCATGTATCGAACGATTCAAGTTTCAGTTACCGCGTAACAGCACAAGATAATCTTAAAAAAAAAATTGTTTGAAACTTCAATTTTAAACCTCTATTTCAGATTAAAAGCCCATTCTAGTCAATCTATGACACTACAAGGGATGAGCGTCGCTGATTCCCCCCCCCCCAAATCTGATCAAGTATGCGAACAAAGTCTTGCAAAAACCAAAATTTTCAACGATTCTACTAAATTTTTCAAAAAATGTCTTTGTCATTTTACTTTATGTCAAAATGAAGATTCCTCAATTATCTAAAAGGTTTTTAATACAGAAATCATAAAATTTTGATCCTACTGCAGCACAAAAATGTCTTGAGAAAGTGCTTTTAACATACGTATGAGCCCCCTTCACGCTCCTGTTGATGTCACGCTCCTGGAATGAGAAGGTGACAAAATCCTTCTTTGTAGCTTCAAAGAAAACTGCGGCTTCGCAGCCAGCGAAGGAATACGTAAGTGAGACAACGAATGATTGCAATTCAAAGTCAAAAACCTTCGTAATCCACAAAGAACCTCTCCTTATGGTGGGAAGGATATCCTTTTTAATGCCATCAAAATTGTTTCAACAAGATACGATGTCGTTCGAGGCTGCGAAGCCACCGTTTTCTTTGAAGTAGTAGCACAAGGATCGTTTTGGTAGAGTTCAAGTGTGTTGGTTCCCAGCACTTTTGAACAGGACTGGGGTCATATCAGGGGCGGCGTGGGGCCTTCGGGGCTCTGAAATAAGGAGGGAGACTCGTCTTTAACACCAACATATAACGCTTACATAAGAAACTGCAGGTTCTTCAGCAGTTACCAGAGAGTAAAATTCAATACGAGTCGAGAATGTGTCCAAACGATTGGTTATTTTGTGCAAAGCTTATTCACGAAATTGTACATAGTAATCTAGAAATGATTTCCAATGTATCTGTTGTTACATATGACATGACCGATGCATTATATGAGTAGTGGACCCATCGACGTTCGTTTCCGGCGTTAGTTATCTCTCTTTTACTTCGCTGAAGCCGAGAGCAATGTCTGTCGCGTGACACCACTCGGCCAGTATCCGGAGTTGAGCCGATAGAGTGCAGCTGGCAATCGTTTTCTGGGTAGTACATAAAAATGGCGCACTCGGGACCCTCTGCTCGGGTACGAGTCGTAGTCGTCCCATCCTCATGAAAGTGCTGCCGCCAGTGACCTAAGCACACGCAAGACCTTACGCTTGAGGCAAAGCGTTCGAAACGAATTCTCCGACTTCCTCCCATGCACGTAGATGAGCGGGAGAGGAAGTAAACTACCACTACGCTCGAGCAAAGGAGTAAGCGCGCATTTAAGTTGAACGATGCAGTTTTGAAGTTTATTTTTGAAAGAAAAGAAAGCAGACTGCATTTGTGTCTGTGGTAGGTACGCCATGACGTCGCTGTGGCCTTCCTCGCCTTCCTCCGAAGCGTCGGCACTCGTACTGCTGCTGGCGTTTGGACACGTTCAGAGCAAACAGATCAACACCTTTGCTGTAACGTTACGACCCCACTGTTAAAATTTGTTGTCACTTCATAACAAAATCACGTTGTAACAAAATGATATTTGCATCAAAGCTCCTAGCCGCCACAACTTCACTCCCAGACTTGTTACTGACTTTTAGGACGTGGAATTTACATTTTCTGTTTGCCTTTATGCACACTATTTGAAGCAGTGTGCCTGCAGGCACACACTTTAAAGCAGTGTGCAGTGCATGGAGGCATACATTTTAAAGTGTGTGCCATGCACACATGCGTTTGCCGAGTGAACAATATTGTATATGGTTACTAAGGAAATAATATATATTATTGCTGCTTGGAAAACTAAGTAAGCAAGGGATAAAAAGTCAATAATTGAAGCAGAAAAGTCAAAACGAGTCTGAGAGTGTAGAAACACGAAACACCAAATTTTGGAGTGCATCACTGGGAGAGAAAGTCCTGTTAAAGAAGAATCTATAGTTAGATACTAGATAGTATTAATACTATCCGCATCTCCTAAAATACTGCGACGGACACAAAGTATTTCAAGGTGTAGTGGTGGTTTCTATAGTGTGCACCTGGCCCAGACCAAAAAGAAATTAGGCACCAGTATCAGCCACGGATGTAGCCAGAGCATTTCACGGGCATTTCCATGGACGTGGAACCTGTTGAGCATTGTTTCGTGTCAAAAAAAAGGTGAAACTACGTCACCAGTCACAACCTGAAAGCAAAATGAACTGTCCCACAGGGCCCATACATAGCCTATGGCGTGCAGCCTATTTGCTGTCCATCAGAGAACGAACAGTTTTCCCTCCGGCTGAGCCACTTCAACCCTCAACGGCCATACGACCCTCAGATGATTTCGGGGTATTTGACATTCAAAGAAGATTTTGGGGACGGTTACATGGTAGGTGGTAAAGTTGAGGTTCTAAGAGCGAGCTGATTGCCCACTCCAAATGTCTTGCGGCGCAATTTCCCATAATACGAAGAAAAGAGCGCTAGGTTGGCCCCCGCCTTGCCGATGATGTCCTGCAGCTCGGCCATGGTGAGGGAGGTGCTGCAGGACATCTACAGGCCATCCACAAGGTGGCAGTGCTGTGTTGAAAGTTCTCGAGTTAAATATTATTTTGTAAGGCATTTCATTTCATAAGCGACCTTTTCAATATTTATTTTGTTGTTTTTATGTGCTGATCAAATCTTTTACGTTACACTGTAAAAATTAACGTCCGGAATAAACGACGGATCCTTCGACAAAAAACTGCCAACGGTTCCTTCGTTAATTTACGAAGATCTTCGTATCTTTACAAAAACCTTCGTTAATTTTTTGAACGATCACTGTCGATTTTACAATCACAATGGAAATTTACGTAGCACCTTCGTAAATCTGCAAAGATCCTTCGTAAATTTACAGGGAACCTTCGTTAATAAACAAAGAACCTTCGTTCGTATACAGAGAACCTTCGTAATAGTACGTCTGGAATTAACGACGGATCCTTCGGCAAAAAAATTGCCAACAGTTCCTTCGTTTATTTACGAAGGTCCGCCTTAGATTTACGAAGACCCGTCGTAGATTAACGAAGCCCGTCGTAAATTTACGAAGCCCTTCGTTAATTTACAACAGACCTTGTACATTTACGATTTTTCTTCGTATATTTACTAAGAACCTTCGTAAATGAACGACGAACTTCCGTTATGATTTACAAAAGTTCCTGCAGGAACGAAACATCCACAGTGCACTTTCGGACATTCCCAAAAACCTTCGGAAAATATTCCGTCGTAAATTCACAACATAATTTTTACAGTGTTGTTAATTTTAGGATATCAATAACAGACACTTCGTTACTAACTTTTGTGAGACATAAAAATTCTCCAAAGCCATCCCATACGCCACGAATACATCTTCACGATATAAACATATATTAAAAGTATACTAATAACACGTGTGTATTCCAGACAAGTGTCGCGATAGACAAACGATCAAACAACCAATGGAAGGAAAACTTCTTTCTCATGAAGTTTAGCAACATGGGGTGCTCCGCGATGCGCAACCAAATTCCAGACCTGTACCGCATCTTCGTTGAGACTACTGGGGCACCAAAGAGCAAGAAGGTGCCTTGCGTCATTCGAGCGGTGCGTGTTAACCGTGCATGCTCAGTAGTGAGGGCTCTAAGCGACAGATTTCGCTTAAACCTTGCACTTTCTGACTTCGGTCTGGCGCTATGTACCGTCGAGTCCCCTAAAGTGGGACGATTTTTACGGAAAATCGTCTGTTATTCACAGAATAACGATGACACCGAAAATCGCCGGGGATTTAAGAATCTTCATGTCAAAACACGTCTTTTACCGAAAACAAATTTTTTTTTCAGCCCATGGGGCTCCAGTAGGAGCAGCAAGAACCGTGTCCCAATTTTTAGGAGCCAAAGTTCCTAAAGTGGGACACGTTCATTCGTTTTCGCCCAAAAACTGCAGTAGCAAAAATTTCTTAAAATGTATTATGTCCAAAATTAAAATTTGAAGCAAGTTTGGTTCTGAAGTTTTTTTCGATATCTCGACTGGTTAAGCTGATATGAGCCTCTTCAATCAATTAGATTTCCTTAGATATTTAAATTAGAAACAGCCGTAGCGCCTAAACCAATTGAAATACGGCGAAAACCAATAAAACAAAAAGGTCTTAAAATTTAATTTTTGACCAAAACCATTTTATGAAATTTTTTGCTCAGGTCATATTTTTTAAGTTTCGAAATGCACGGCAAGAAATACATGTTGAAATTTTTAAAATTAAAAACCGTTTTCCGGCAACTTTTTTTCTAAAAAAAATTTTTTTTCAAAATATGTTTTACGCAAGATTTGTCTATGGTCGATAACGATATCTTTGTAGGTTAAACCAAGAGGAAGCATTTGCTTTCAAACAGACTAAATTTTTTGCTGACTTAAAGCGTACCGAATAACCGTACTTGCCCGACTGCCCGGGCCTCCAAACCGACCTGGCAACCTAAAAATACAAGGCAGCGTTTGTAGGACGCTGGAGGTGAATGTAACGCCTCTGAATCGGTCAAAACCTAAAAAAAACGAAGGAAATGCATGTGCCCCATTTTACAGCCCCTCAGAAGATTGCTTCCCACCGTAAAACGAAGCGTCGGAAACAAATTTTCTAAAGTGCATCTTGTAGATAAAAGAACGCGCTACAACATGTCTGAAGTCTAGAATGGTCCGAGCATCAACGGCTCGAAGCCCCGAATCCGCGCTAGACGTCTGAAAAAACTTCTCTTTTTTTCTGCATCAAATTCCAATTATCAAGTTTTTTTGGGGAGGGGGTATAGGGGGAACAAGACACTCTGTGCGGATATGGCCCTTGGAGAGGTCCTACCGTCTCAAAAACATTTTTTACCTCGCAAAATATCCACGCGTTGGCCGTTTACGGCCTAAAATAGGGAAAATAGTCAAAATGTCCCACTTTAGGGTTCGTGTTCACATTTAGGGGACTTGACGTGGTACGAGTGTTCTAGACACCCAAAATAACGATTTCACAGTTGGAGGCACTCTGGGGAACGCTGCAGAGACCGCTGCGAAACGAAAGTCTACTTTTTCTAGGTTAAATTCCTATGAAACACCTAAAAATTATCTGAAATCGCAGCTGCATGCGTGTATCTTGTTTTCGACCCTTTTCTTTTTCCTAGCACGGCAGGAACGGTACCTGCTTTTCCCAGGAAGCATATGGTGAAGACAGGCGATTTCCAGGGGGTTCCTGGAAAGACTAGAAAACGTTTTTACCGTAGCTTAACAAACTCCGCTTTAACATCGACCTTCAGTAACCAAGACGTAGAAGAGTTTCATTGTGTCAGTGAAGAAATATCTTCGAGAGTGCACACCAAAATTAGCGTGAATGCTTTCGAGGTTGCTCAAAGTTCCAAGTAATTTCTTTTGATGAATGTTGTAGTTGATGCTTGTTTTCTGGGGCCGATCACTCATCGAAACTAATACAGTTGACACTAAACGCATCCTGCGAGAAGTATCATAATTTTTTGTGCTGCGCGAGAAATATTTTTTGGGACTTGGTCATACTTTGAGCTCTGAGCCACCTCAAAGACATTCACGCTAATTTTGATGTGCACGTGCACATTTCTCAAAGATACATATTTCCCCAATGGCACAAAATTTTTCCCGCGAAAAAGTGTTGAGACAAATTTAAGCCAAAGAGGAGCGAAATCGCCGATTGTCCACTTCAAATGGTCCGGATATGCTCAAATCTTCAGTGAAAATAGTAAAATTGAGCAATTTTGAGAGCCCGTAGCGTCCAAACCTGACTTCGTAGAGCCTCGCGCGGGCATTCGAAAGAGCGCATTTTTTTTTTTGGGAAAAAAAACCACAATGGTAGATATTTTGGGCCGGGGGTTCCGAGATCCCAAGAAGCCCCAAACACTCAAAAACGGCCATTTTTAGTTCTGTTTTTTTACCTCTACAATAAAGCTAATCAGTGGATACCGGCCCTTAGTGTTTCGGCAATTAGTATTCACGTGAGGAACAAAAAAAAAACCGGATGGGAGCCAAATCGAGGGGTCCTATTCAAAAGATCTTATGTGGGCTTTCCCCCCCAAGAGAATCTTATCTTAAACGCAGGCAAATTTCACTCATTTTTGATCATTTGATACAGCTACAAATCAAAAAAAATTTTGTGTTTTAATCACTGAAATGTGAAGATGAATGATCAAAGAAACCAATACTGCGTGTAGAAATATTTCCGCTTACTCTCTTATCCGTCACAAAATGAGCGAAATTCGCCTGCATGTAAGATTAGATTGTCTTGGGCGGAACGCCCAGATAAGATTCTTTGAATAGGACCCCTCGAAATCTGAGGGGTCCCCGGCCAAGTGTTCATTTTTTGTCTGGAGCTGCTCAGAACAATCTGAACACGTACCCCCAAAAAAGGTGTCTTGAATCAAGTCGGGCTGGCCTTGAAACAAGGCTAAAAGGGCCTTGATTGCTTCAAGGCCAGAAAAGACTTTAATTAAGTCAGATATTGCCTTGTTTCGTCTTGTCGTGGGTCAAGTCATTTCCGACTTAAAACAAGTCCACGAGAAGCCTGAAAAAAGTCATTTTTTGTTGTTTCAGGCACGATGGAGCCTTGATAGCGACACAGTGTTCAAGGTTTTTTTGACTTGAAATTTCTCACATCTGTTCTTAGTCTATCAGGCCTTGTTCCGTTAGGGCTTGTTTCAAAAAATTTGACTTGAAGCAGCCAAGGCTATGGTTGACTTGAATATAGAGCCTGCGGTGAAATACGCGTCTGGGATTATTTCCGGTCGTTAAGCCCTTAAATACCATCACCCGCTAGATCTTTGGGCCCCACAGTAATTGAAATGGCAGACTCTGTGACGATTCCTTTCAGAAAAAAGAAAAGGGAAAAATGGCTGAATTAGATGGTCACCAAGAAACGACTTTGGCGCCTTTTCACCGCCCGACGTGGTTCCGCCAGCTGCCGCAAGAGCGCGCTGCGCGCGTTGTGCTGCCGTCCGCTCGCGGGGCCAGCCCCGGTCGCCACTTAGGGTAGTTCGGAAGTAGGGCCCCGCGAGGACGGGGTGCGACAGGACCCCCTTGCATCGGTCGTGTAGTGACATGATGAACATGTTTCTGGGAATCAGCAGCAAGAATTTCGGTTCAAGTCTAGCGCGTACTTGTTTTCGACCAGTCTTGAAACAAGTAGGAGTGACTTGAATCAAGCCTAAATTTCAAGTCAAAAAAAAACAAGTTTTTTTTAAACTTGATTCAAGAAACCATTTTTCTGGGTGTAGATGCCAAGTACTTGAGATATGCCGGTTTTAAATGCCACTTTTCCTGCATTAGTTCTTGTGTCTTACGGTCCTCGAGTTGCAAAATTCAAAGTGCTCTTCATTTTTGGCCCGTCCCGTTTATTTTTTGTAAAAAAATGACGGAGGGACGGGCATATAGTATGATGCATGCTGTGCCCTCCGTTGTTTGTTCGTTCGTTCGTTCGTTCGTCCCTTCGTTCGTCCCAGGACTTCCCCTGGTCCGATCTTGACCAAATTTTGGGATGCAGCCTCCTTGGGTGACCCTAAGAACCGCCCGGTGGGAGCAAATCCGATCCGAGCCCCGGGGGGGCTGCTGCAGGTGCATCATGGTCTACATGGGGTCGAGGAGGATCTCGGCAACGGATGCAGCTAGGAGGGCATGTAGGGGTATTTTTGGAATCGGGGCGACGAGAGAAAACCAATGGTGCCAGTTTCGAGCAAATCGGAGAAGTTTGGACCCGGTTCAAATCCCAGCGGGGGATTTTTGGAACTTCTTTTTTTTCGGTTTTTGCATTGTTTCTGATGTTTTGGAGGGTGCTGATGACGAAAACGACTTTTATTTTAACCCAGACTCAGATTTAAATTTCCCCTCAGGGGCAAACATAGGAGAAATTCGTACGTTTCTTAATGTACGGGACGGGCCAAAGTTGCCGATGTATATCGCTACTTTTCCTGTTATTTTCACATTCCGCTGACAGGGACACTACATCTGGAAGAACGAATCTGTGAACTGGAATTTTCCCAACGTCCCAATCGTGCCCTACGGACACTACCGGTTCCGGCTGCGCTGCGCTGCGAATGACACTGGCAAAGTCCACATGTGCGTGGAAGTCGATGGCCACGCCATCCCGAAGCCATAGAGGTGGCCCAACCGCACTACTAATATGGAACTAAGACTCATTGTTTTTCATACAACCTTCATTGGCCTTCGTTCAGAATTGCGCTCAATAACCAGGAGAACATCACGGGTGGCATAACCTAGCTATGAGTTGCATATCCGCTTATAACAGCGACATCCTTAGACGATTCACACAACTGACCATACAATAAGATTCTACGTAAAATTTAACGTTGCCTTACTAGAATATTTCGTGTCCTGGTACATAAAATCCCCATAAGATTTGATTTGACGAAGGCGCGTCAAACATGGAAGGCAAGCCATTCGGCGGAAGGCCAACGGGGTCTCATGATTCTGGGCAGCGGACACTTCCACCAAGCTTCGGCAGACGGTCGGCGGGGAGTGGAGCGCTTCTTTTTTTTAGTTTTTGACCGATTGGCTTTTAGATGCAACTCGGGCCATACTTTATAACGCAAAAGTGAATCGCACATCTTCCTCTACAAGATTACACACGATCACATGCATGCATATGAAAGGCAGTAGTCGTGATGTATGTACGGTTAGGAAGATACAGGTGCTCACTGGAAAACTTTACATTTCAATGAAAAACAAAACAAAAAAACAAGGGTACGTTTTACCCGGGCACTGCGCAGTGATAAATGAGATACCATGGTCCAAAATATTTCTTCTGTTTAATGTGGATGCGCAAATCAAAATTACCAATCAGGTAGGGGAAAACTATTTTCTGACTAGACAGGGAAATTTGTGTGCCAGAATAGCAATTTTCTTTGGAAACACTGTTCGAAAAATCACAGTGAATCCCGTGAATTTTTTGCCGGGATTTGCTGTAGTTCAGAACACAGGATTTACCGTGCCTGGCTACAGTATCTACTGTACCTGCTACAGGATATTCCGTACTTCACTCCTGTGATACAGTAAATCCCGTACAAAGTACAGTAGATCCTGTTAAAAAAGTACAGTAAATCCTGTACTCTGAACTAAAGTGACAGCTGTAAGGGAGAGTGGGGTAATTCCGGACACGGGGTATTTTCGGACACTTCGATTTTCACTGGGTTTGAGTGAAGATAACTCAAAAGCCCGCCTAACAGAGGAAGATAATCAGTTTAAAACGAGAATTCCAAATCGCCAAAGTAGGAGGTCAAATCGTTTGCCTGTGGTCGCTTCACGAAATTTGAGTACCATCAAAAATAGGCAAAAGCTGCATCTTTCCCTCGTATTTCTATGTACTTATCGTACCTTACCGTCAAGTTCAGTCCCATGACTAAAATTTTATTATGTTATATGGTCATTGGACTTTACTTTGGCGGGGGAAAATCCGGACAATAAGGGTTATTTTCTTCAATTTCCCGCATAATGTTAAGGTAGTGGGTTCAAAATTGTGGACATGCATCCCCACCGTTAAGAAGGATAAAGAAAGAACGAAAAATAGCATTGCAGCTATGTTTAAGAGCTTTACTAAAGACAGTTTGTCAATTTGGGGGTTTGATAGAAATTATTCCTTATAATATGCTTCGAGTAATAATCAAACACTTCAGTTCGCAGCAAATGTCCTTGAACGCCTTCTAAAAGCTGCCTCAACCCAAAACAAGTGAAAGTAAGCTCGAGTAGTGTAAAATTTTTAAAGGGTCGTCCGGCATTCCCCCATAGGTCGTCCGGAATTACCCCAGCCTGGGGCAATTCCGGACACGTGCAGGGCTTTTGTTAGGCGCCTATATCTCCCTAACCGTTGCTGAGATTTGGCTTTCATGTATACCTTTTGAAGGTAAAGGTCCATACTTCACTCTCCTGTCATAACATTTAACCCAAGAAGCATATTCAAGCTCAAAGACCAAAAAAAAAAATACGATTTCAAGAAATCCTAGGAGTCACGAAGTCAATATGGTTATTATGTAGGAGTGTGGAGAGAGGAAAAAAGTTGTGTAAAAGGGGTAGGGGATGGTTTGGGTACGAATGGCAGCGGTACCAATGTGGTCGATGTGGCACCCGTCAAAATTTAAATTTGGGAAAAAAAAAGAAATCAAAATGCCGTAAAATTCGAAAAATTCCAATGCTAATGTATTCCACAGTGGAACATCTTTGAAGTCAATCATTATTAAAATGTTCGTGGGGTAAAGGAGGAAGGAGGCAGTAAATTAATTTTCGCGGGTTGGCAGCAATCTTCTCGGCGTCTGCGCCCTTGCGAAAATAGCGAAGCCGAAAACACGAGTAGTCGCGCATTAAAACTCCCGTGTGGAACGAAAGTCTGTAAATACGTCGTACCTTTGGCGTTATTCGCACTACAAAGAAACGGCAAAAAAACGTCAAAAGTACTCCAGAAATTAACGTCAAAATAACGTCAAGCGTACTCCAAATGCATTTGACGTTAAAACCCCAGTAAATTTGAAGTTTTTTTGGGGTAAAAGTGGTCCGTTTTACTTGAAAAAAACTTCAAATTTACTGCCATGGCCCAGCCGCCAGAGAGCGGCGTTGCCGGATCGGCCTCATGAATTGGGCGCATGCGCAATACGATGGTGGCTTCGCGCCAAACGTTCAAATATGGGCCTTATTTTTTTTCTGCTTCAGCTAATTATTTGATATATTTTCTGGGGGAGTTATTTCTCCTAAATGGATCATCAGACCGGGAAATGGGAAAGTAATAGAGATTATTTCATGTTCTTACATTTTATTTAACCACATTTCAAAAATATCACTCTAGTTCATAATCATTTAGAGGTGCCACAAGAAAGGTGCTGTTTGCATCTTGAAGCTTAAACATCACACACTTTAAATCAAGAACAGATACAACATCACAGTTAAAAAAAGAGTCAACTTGACTTGAAGTATCACATTTAAAGATGTGATTGAAAACTACTGAACCAGCTGCATATTGAGTTGTAGGCACAGGTTTAATGACAGCGAGATGCTTGCGGAGACAGCTGCAAGTATCACTGCAGTTACACACCACTTTGACAAAACATAAAATGTTTCCATGCTTTTGGACTCCACTTGAATTGTAAGTCACAAAAGAGGAAACCCTTGTACTTCGTTTGTAACTGGTGGCCACATACAACAAGCTATTCTTCTGGAACCTGTGGAACAACATAATTCTAGATCTCTCATTTATACACTTCTCTTTGTTCAACATTCCTACAACCCACGCAAAATCATCAGTCACTGCAGAAAACAGTCCAACAACAAATGTTCCTGGGGACATGACATCACTAATTCTCAGACGGTGCCTTCGTTTCTTGCAATAAGCTTTCACAGGGCCCTCACGGAGGTTGTTAATCATAAGAGGAAGGTGGGTTATGACTCCTATATGGGAGCGAATTTGAAGACCAGCATATCTTGTACCATGGACAAGATTTAATATTCTCCCATTGATATCTTCAAATTTAAAACAAGAAATGGCCCATAATGGTCCAAGGTACATCACACACTTACAAAGGTGCAGACTCATATGTAAATTATGGGACATATCATTTACAGAGTACAGAGATTCAAACTCCTTTGAAAACTGATTTAGAAGCTTATCTGATTCTTTCATATCTTCAGGACTTATGCTATTTGTATTCAGTAGGGAGGTCCCTTTTACAAACAAGCAATAATGTTCATAATCTTCAGGGTCTAGTATATCTTTAAGAAGGACAACTGACAAGTTAAAGAGAAATGACCTATATTCAGTAGCTTTCCAGTGAACCAGCTTTTCAACTGGCTGAGGACGTCTTTGAAGATAATCAGGTGGAGCTTGTTCTAACAATTTTTGAGTTAGTAACTGAGCCTTGTCTTGATATTTGCCATCAATGAACCAAATTCTCATCATTTGGCGCATTATTCCAAGATACAAGGCATGCATTGAATCTATGGCCATTGATGAAAAGATATCATCCATTATGTGAGATAAAACAGTAGGCCCTTTAATGCCACAATACTGTTCCTCATTTTTCACACTTTTCTGAAAAATTATTTTATCTTTCACAGCCTGTTTGACATGACGATCATAATCAGCCATATTTCTGAGTGGAACATTTTCTTCATAGGGGAACACAGTACTTTCATGATATGCACCTCTAATAAGACACAAATGACAAGAAAAAAATCCAGAATGGGATTTCATGTTAAGAAATGAGGCCGTTGCAGGCGCATCACATGTACCACACAGCACTGAGCAGGTAATCCGTTGTTTCTCATCTTTTCCAAAGTATTCAACATCAATTCCATTCTTTAAATTAAGAAGCTCTTTCAAAATAGGCACTAAGTAAACATTAGGATGAGGTTTAGAGGCACTACACCAAATTCCTGCTATAATTAGGTTCTCACTTGGGTTGGTTCGTCAAAATGTGGAAATTTAAAATCAAATATGTTTAGCTCAATTAACACTTGCACGGACTTCCTATCAGCAAATACCCCTTATGTAACAACAAAACACCTTCAGAGAAAGGCATGTACATGTTTTCAGTCAAAAATTTTGACTTCTTGTACCACATATAGCGCCGGAAAGGTACAAAAATGGCCGTTTTGTCGGTGTCCGAATCCCCGATTGAAACGCAATGTGAAGTCTAATTCCTTATAACGCCGTTAAAACACCCAAAGTTTTGTGTGTTTTCGAGAGTGGACACTTTGGTCTACATTTTAACCTAAGTCCCGAAACCTTGAGTCGATTCGTTCGTTCGTAAAGTGGAAGAAAAGTTTTGTCCGCAAATTGCGTCACTTGCTACCGGCATTTGTATTTCGCGGCTCTAAGCGTGTTTTGTGCCTGCACCGAACCAAGCGCCAACCCTATTCGGCTCCGAAATTGATATTAAACAAAACTGCAACGGTGGAAATACTTCTACAGGAGTATGGTAGGTTCAAAACAAGGATAATAGGTCGCTTTGCCGTAACTCGCAATCATAAACCTGTAATCGCCAACGCGTAATTTCGACCTCCCCCCGGATAAACATTTTCAAATACTGGGACAAGGTCATGTTTTGCCGCTTCATTTGACCTATTTACACCATACAGCGTCTGTTACGTACAAGCAAATTTGGTATTTCCGTGCGAAATAGATGGGTTTTACAAAGTGTAATTATGTAATCGGATGTAATCAGCCAGGACCCCGGCGTCGACGCCTGTTACTGCACTTTTGAAGCTTAAATACTTGTTTATTTCGCATCCAAGCCTACTACATATGTTAGGATTTTTTGTTTGTCCTGATCAGACGAATCGATTTCTATTAATAGATGTCAGTTTTGTCCACTTTGAAATTCCACCCAAACCACTTGAATGTAACGAACGTCGACGCGCGTGTAACAAACGTCGACGCAAATGTAACAAGCGTCGACGCGCGTGTAACAAACGTCGACCCAAAGTACGCTTTTAACATTTAAGCCATTAGAAACAAAACTGGAACGATTTAAGCTTTGATATTTCTTGGGGACCATTCTAGAGCCATCTTGAATGAGCCTGCAAAATTTCATCCGAAAAGCCGCACATTAAAATGTAGGAAATCCAGTGCCTCAAATTCCCACATCTCGGCGAACCAACCCACTTAAGAAGCGCTTTTCAGGAGGCAATTCTAATGACACAAGATACACAGGCCACAATGAGTAAGAGACGGACTTATATATAGGCACCCCGTCAGTGTTCCACATGACAGTAAGGCCTTTTCCTGTCCGTCCTAGACTTTCTGCTAGTTTATATGCCTCACCATCCCAGATGTCTTCTATATTGTTCTCATTTTGTTTAACTCTAATTCGATTCTGTTTTAGGTTCTCAACAAAATCAGGCCTTTTAAAGAGTCTTCTCACTTGTGCCTCTAAGGAGAATGTGATGAAGTGTTCTACTTTACGATTCTCATCAGTGCATACATTACACAAATCATTCAAAGACTTGCATGTTTTGTAACATAAGCTACAAAAGTAGTGGATGTTAACTGGCTCCTTAATATCTTCTAACAGCTTGAACATGGCGTGTCTGGTCTTCACAAAGCTGTTTGGTTTGGGAAGATGTAAGTCAACAAGAGAGAGCAGGTCGCCAAATCCTACACCACTAATGTTATGACGTTGAACAAACGTAAGCATAGCAGTAACACTTTCCCACACACTGATTGGGGCTTCAGGATAAATCAGAGACTCGTTGCCTTGATTAGTAGATGTGTCTTGCACTGTTTCTTCCTCTTCCTCTTCCTCTTCATCAGTATCAGTACCCTGATCAGAATCTTCAAGTACACTAGAGTGCGGCTGTCCAGGTTTTAAATGGCCAGCATTATCATCATCAGTATAATTCCAAAAATAAGCTGAAAAATATGTTCCATTGCCATTAGAAAACAATCAACACATTGGTAATATACTAAATGAAATAAGTAAAGAGTTGTGTACTCACCAGGTCCAAAAAGTTTGTCTGAAGAGTGTGATTCAGAGGACATAAGTGGTTCAGTGATTTCTGGACTGCCTGGCACTAAGTCCAATGGCTGATCGGGTATTTTGCTGAGATCTTCCAAATTAAAATCAGCTAGAAAAGAAAAAAAATATTTTACAACCTCACCACTAAATAAACTGAGATGATAACTTAGAATCAAAGCAGAACTTACAGATGTTATGGGAGGCTAGGTCTTGTAAAACTTGTGCTTCAGGAATCTGAGGTTGGAGCGGTAATGTGCACTGCTCATTGTCATGCAATGTAGGTATTTCTGCTTCTACATTTTCAGAGAGAGTCTCGACAGATAAATCTATTTCTGCATCCACATTTTCAGAGAGAGTCTCGACAGATAAATCTATTTCTGCATCCACATTTTGACTGGGAGCCTTGACAGTTTCTGTGGTTTGTTGTTCGGCATGCAAGTCTACAAAGAAAACAAATAGAAAATCAGCCATGAGAAAAGGGCAATTTCTGTTGGTAAAATTTATCGCATTGAGTAAATAAACTTACCAAGGCAAGGAGCTTTACAGGGTCTAGGGTTGACGGGGCTAGGGCTGGGTAGTTCGTGCTTTCTCACACTTTTGGCGGTTGAGAGAGATGCTTGGGGAGATGTGTTCATGAACTCAGCATCTTCAAGTGACATTACAGGCTCGTCACCAAAACCCAGACTCAGATCACTAAAATAAAAAAAAATATACCACGGTTAACTTGCTAATTTAACATTAAAAACTGCACTCTGGAAAGGGTTATGATCTCACCATTCCATCTCCTCTTCCACGTTGCCCAAATTTTCATCCGAGTCTGGTCGAAGCAGCTGTGCAGCTCGCCTTGAAAGCTTTGAATTTTCGTCTTCGTCCATTGTGGCCACGAATGCTTTCGTACTAAAATATTATTCAAGATTTGACAAACTTTGGACAATCTGAGTTTACCACAACAATGGCAATGGCGGCGCGGCGCCTTCTACACTTTCAGCGCTCGACGGCAGCGGAGACTTTGAGCGCTGCCAACTCATAAAACTTTAGATGCTAGCATAAACAAGAAAAAGCTCCCACAGAGAAATAAATAGTAGATCTAAGTAGGCCGTAAACAAACTTCAAACTAACTGAAATTATTTCATTCCGATATTGACTTTTATTAAAGAAGAAATGGTTCATCGCATTGCCTTTTTCAAACTCGCAGGTTTGCACTTGTGAGTATTGTCAGGCCGGCGTCTGCGGCGCCTCCATCAGCTGATTTCTGTCAAATTGGTCAACAACATCTTTCCTCCTGCGCTGTCGCATTATGTCACGCTGAATTATGGCACCCCGTCTTGATTTCTATTTGGTTTTTTCTAAAAACCCACCTTCCGTGGATGTTTTGAGGGAGGATGCTTTAATCCCTCTAAATGGTGAGGGAACATCAACTGATGACTATGACACTTCATTTCAATTTGAGGTGTCAAAGGGCAAGTTCGAATTGGTCAAGGGGAAAATTTTGGCCAAAGGTAAGGAAAACACTGATTTTTTAATAATTCTAACCTAACCAAGCTTGTCATTGCTTCTGCTCGTTGTTTCTGGCCATTTGCCATCCCTCTTCAACCTTGACCTACCCCAAAGACAGAATTCCATGTGTTTTGGAGGGTTAATGGCATGCTTGACTTTGTAGCCACTCATGCATTAGTTTTATTTTAGGTTTCAAAAAGGACCTGGTGGCTCGGAAAGTATCCTCTGCCGGGATTCTTCTTCCCAATACAGCGGAATCGTATATCAAAGATAGAAAGAAGGAATTGAGGCAGAGGAAGTTAGCGGAAAGCTATGCCAATAAATTGAACCTACAAAGCAGAGCTGAGGATATATTGGACGATGTCTCTGAAGGTAATGATTCAAAGTAAAATCAATTACAGTGTCATAATTTGTTGTCATGACTAAATGACTTTTTAATTTTTTTAAAATTTAGACTTGCAGGACTTTATGAGAAAACACAACGCCCCAGTCCACAGGCCATCACTTCCTAAAAAGAGGACACCAGAGCAATTGGAAGCTCTGAGGCAGAAAGTGGCCGAGTTACCCTGCTTTGCACCAGGAACACACAAGGTACTGAAAATTGATTTAATTTGGTTTTATTTAGGTTACTGGAGTTGTCAAACATAACTTTTTCTTTAAATTTTGGCAGACAGAGCTATGGACTGGCATGGGAGTCTATGTCCCAACAGGACCACTCTCCCTAGTTAGACTCCGTTACAAGAGTAAACCGAAACGGCTTGTGAGTGCCCTCTTACACCTGGCACTTCCTGACTATATTCTCCTCGAGGATGGTTTCAGTGTGCAAGGTAAACGAGGCTGCGCTGGACTCTCAAGCAGAGTGCTGGAGGCAATAAACCGTAAGTAATAGTATAGTAATATTTGCCAAAATTTGGCATTGTAATTTTTAAATGCTATGAATTACATTTTTTTTTCATTACTGGCACAGTTTACACCGGTGCCATCTTAAGGAAAACTGGTGGGGACATCCAGAGTACTGATTTGGACCCCCTCCAGCAACTCAAGAACCTCATAACAAATACTAGGAAGAAATATGGGGTTTTCATTAATGACGCAGATACATCCAATGACAGCACCACACAAGAGACATCTAATCACACACCGCACACTACACCACCCCACACTACACCACCCCACACTACACCACCCCACACACCACCACCCCACACTCCACCACCCCACACACCACCACCCCACACACCACCACCCCACACTCCACCACCCCACACACCACCACCCCACACACCACCACCCCACACTCCACCACCCCACACACCACCACCTCACACACCACCACCCCACACTCCACCCCACACGCCACCACCCTACAACCCATCTTTCCCCCTGCCATCCGACCACGAGTATCATAAATTTCCTGAAGCTACGTTTGTTGGTGAATTCGTAGAATTGACACCTGACTTCATACTTGAGGAAAAAGTGATCACTCTTGCGAGGATGTGAATATTCTTGTTTTGTTGTTTTTGTCTATATGAAGTATTTTTGTTATTTTTTTTCTTTGTGACCTGTGATACTTTAGTATCTTAAGTTTTTGTTACTTTAATGTTTTCTGCTGTGAATGTATAAATGAAGGGTGAAATGTGGTTAAATAAAATGTAAGAACATGAAATAATCTCTTTTACTTTCCCATTTCCCGGTCTGACGATCCATTTAGGAGAAATAACTCCCCCAGAAAATATCAAATAATTAGCTGAAGCAGAAAAAAAATAAGGCCCATATTTGAACGTTTGGCGCGAAGCCACCATCGTATTGCGCATGCGCCCAATTCATGAGGCCGATCCGGCAACGCCGCTCTCTGGCGGCTGGGCCATGGCAGTAAATTTGAAGTTTTTTTCAAGTAAAACGGACCACTTTTACCCCAAAATAACAGGAAAAGTAGCGATATACATCGGCAACTTTGGCCCGTCCCGTACATTAAGAAACGTACGAATTTCTCCTATGTTTGACCCTGACGGGAATTAAATCTGAGTCTGGGGTTAAAATAAATGTCGTTTTCGTCATCAGCACCCTCTAAAACATCAGAAACAATGCAAAAACTCGAAAAAAAAGAATGTTCCAAAAATACCCCGCTGGGATTTGAACCCGGGTCCGAACTTCTCCGATTTGCTCGAAACTGGCACCATTGGTTTTCTCTCGTCGCCCCGATTCCAAAAATACCCCTACATGCCCTCCTAGCTGCATCCGTTGCCGAGATCCTCCTCGACCCCATGTAGACCATGATGCACCTGCAGCAGCGCCCCCGGGGCTCGGATCGGATTTGCTGCCACCGGGCGGTTCTTAGGGTCACCCAAGGAGGCTGCATACCAAATTTGGTCAAGATCGGACCACGGGAAGTCCTCGGACGAACGAACGAACGAACGAACGAACGGACGAACGAACGAACGAACGAACGAACGAACGGACGCACAGCATGCATCATACTATATGCCCGTCCCTCCGTCATTTTTTTACAAAAAATAAACGGGACGGGCCAAAAACTTCAAATTTACTGGGGTTTTAACGTCAAATGCATTTGGAGTACGCTTGACGTTATATTGACGTTAATTTCTGGAGTACTTTTGACGTTTTTTTGCCGTTTCTTTGTAGTGCGAATAACGCCAAAGGTACGACGTATTTACAGACTTTCGTTCCACACGGGCTGCCCCTCCATTGTTGCTGACGTTGAATTGTTTGGCTTGTTTCAAAAGGCTACGGTTCTCTAGTCATGTTTTCTTCAATTCTGTGTAATAGTTCTCACTCACAACGTAACAACACCATAACGGTTGGTTTGACAAACTTTACAAACTCAGGAGGGATGGTTTCGAATCGTAGGTGAGTCTTGTTCGAGGAACATGAGCACTGAAAGTCGCGAGGTGGAGCGATTTGGTCATCGTGCTAACTGAATGAAAAGAACCATCAAACAAAAACTAGAGCTAAGACAAATGTAAGAAATACAATTTTGTTTTATTGATTCAGTAAAAAGTTGATAAATGAAAAAATTGTTCTGTTCTTTCAATATTTTTAAATCTTTTCTTCAACATGTGTCCTTAAAATATATTCAGATATAATGTCATAATTTATACAGATTAATTTTGTGGTAGAAAATACACATGGAAAATGAAACAAACACAAAACTCACAATGAGTGTAGGTTTCCATGTTGTTAAGACTGTGAACTGTTCCGCGCATGAGCAAAGACATTCCCATTAAAAATTTTCATCAGGCAGTGCCAACGAAAAGACTGCGTCCAAAAAACCCTCTTGTGCTATTGTTACATCTGTTCTATCACGGTCACAGAAAGTTTTTTATTCGAACGTCCTTTTTCAAAGAAGCGACCGTTTTTGGGGTAACCTGTACACAAGCGAAAAGGAGCCATGCTATTGGTTGGGTTTGGCTCGGCTCCCCCCTCTCTCTTCCCTTTTCGTTGACGAGTCGAGCTTTGCTATGGAAACAGTGATTTTGACGGCATTTTTCTCAAAATTTATCGCTAAGATTTCAACCATATTCCAGAATTGAAATCACGTCTCAGAATTCTACCACTCTGCAAAATCTCATCAAAATCGTATAGAGAGGTTTCGACTTGCATAAGGGGCCACGCGATCAAATCCCAGCGAGGCTGAATCCTGGGGGATACTATAAGGCTACTACGTGCCTAAAAAGCGTCCGGAATTACCCCACTCTCCCTTACAAGATACAGCGGTGGCTCAACACTAGTGCCCAGAGGAATTGAAGAGGGAGAAGAAGATGAGATATACACAACCATACATTGATTCTATTAATAAACACATGTTAGTGCTTTTGCACTCTTATCAGCTTGCAGCATTGCAAACGAATGCATTTCTCGAGTCCAAACTAAGTATGCCTGCCAATTTCAACACAAGTTATTTATGCATTTCCCTGATTTCCTCTAGTTTGAAAATTTTAAAAAGAGGATGAGACTAAAATGAAATAAGAAGATGCACACAATACAAAAGGTCAAAATAAAAACATTCTTTTTGCAATGCTTTGTCAAAGTGCACTGACCTGAAGATGATTTCCCTCTGACAGTGGAGGGGGGAGAGGGGAACAAAACACGTAAATCATTCTCAAATCCATTCTCCATTTTTTGCTGTGTTGGTGTTTCAAAAGGGTTTTAGACATTCTAGAATGTTGAAAAACTAAGGCCTATCTCATTTCCAAACCCTTCTGCTCTTTATTTCGTTTTATTTGCTTATTTGCTATGTCCCGTATTTGAGAGCCGCGGAGCCGCAGGTATGAGAAATTGGTAAGCGGTGCCGCGCTGCCAACCTAACCACGCTAATGACCAGATTCAAAAATATGTTTTGAATATTTCAAACGATACTAAACAACGATTTGAAACAAACTCGTGTTGGGGGGTGCTAAGGCGACGTTAAATACGAAATCTTGAAACTATAGCCACTGTAGTTGCTGAGAATCGTTGGTGAGTACAAAGTCACAGACAGACAGACGCACGACCAGTCAGTTTTCAGCGCGCCCAAACACGGCAAGGGCTTCGCTATCGCTCAGCCAATAAGTTTGAGAGTTTATTTGTTTTTTGTGTATACGCACCAGTCAATAATAAATAGGTTGACATGTAAAATTGTGTCCTGGTTATTTATGAAATCCAACAGCTATTTAAATTTACAATAACAGGAAAAGTAGCGATATACATCGGCAACTTTGGCCCGTCCCGTACATTGAGAAACGTACGAATTTCGCCTGTTTGACCCTGACGGGAATTAAACCTGAGTCTGGGGTTAAAATAAATGTCGTTTTCGTCATCAGCACCCTCAAAAACATCAGAAACAATGCAAAAACTCGAATAAAAAGAATGTTCAAAAAATACCCCGCTGGGATTTGAACCCGGGTCCGAACTTCCCCGATTCGCTCGAAACTGGCACCATTGGTTTTTTCTCGTCGCCCCGATTCCAAAAATACCCCTACATGCCCTCCTAGCTGCACCCGTTGCCGAGATCCTCCTCGACCCCATGAAGACCATGATGCACCTGCAGCAGCGCCCCCGGGGCTTGGATCGGATTTGCTGCCACCGGGCGGTTCTTAGGGTCACCCAAGGCGGCTGCATACCAAATTTGGTCAAGATCGGACCACGGGAAGTCCTCGGACGGACGGACGAACGGACGCACAGCAGGGATCACACTATATGCCCGTCCCTCCGTCATTTTTTTTACAAAAAATAAACGGGACGGGCCAAAAAAGGAAGTCAACCAGTGCATAAGGGAGCCTGTGCCATTTTGACATAATTTGACATGGTGACATCATTTGACATCAACTTGATGTCAAAATTAACTTCGTCTTGTGGTCCAAAATGACGTCATTTTCACGAACAAAAATTTGACTTGACTTTGACATCATTTGACGTCAGTATGAGAACTTTCTGTCCCCTGGGAGCATACATACATGTGAACATGAAGTGTACACATTTCAATGTGATAGAGGTTTCATATTTTAAGTAAATAAAGCTTTGTTTATGCAACAGAAAATTTTTGATTTTATTTTATTTGTCCCTCTACCCTAGAAAGGATCAGGATTTTCTGACCCTCGAGGTAATTGGTTCTGAAAGTTTACATAAGTACAAGTTCAGTAATGGAACAAGTTTTGTGGAAATTCAATGGACTATAAACATCGACACAAAGCACATTATCACTAGAGTCCTTAAGCGGACTCTAATTATAACATGCTAACTTCCTTGGGAAAGGAATCGGAGAAAACATAGGATAGACCATATCTGATCAGAAGGTGCTGGTGCAATATATGGTACAAAAATATATAAAGCAACAAAAGTTATCACAAGGAAGGTTTACGCCAGACCGCGTCTTGTCGTAACAGGCTTCGCGATGTCTCGCAGCCTGTTCCTCCAATCCGCGCTTGGCGTACCTACACCTTGGCCTGCGGCGCTAGCCTGCCTTCGGCAGGCCATGGCTTGCCCATCGTCGGTTACTCGGTTACTTCTAAATTGTTGCATGCTAGGGGGCTCCGCCCCGCAGACCCCCCTTCATTCCAGATAGAGTTGCTTCATCTACAGATAACACGATCTTGACCCTTGTTTCTTTTCAACTTGCCGGGGCTGGGGGTCTCCGCCCCCCAGACCCCCCTTTCTTCAAGGCAGAAGGCATTTGCCGGCAGAAAACTCGATTTTTCGCCATTTTTAGGTGTTTTTCGGCCATATTTCGGCCTTAAAAACTGAACCAGTTGAGGTAGGATAGTGAAACTTCGCGCGTGCCGAGCCAAGGACATACCCAAAAAGTGTGCAAAATCTCAGCCAGATCGGCCGAGCCGTTCAGGAGGAGTAGTGCTGACAGACAGACAGACAAAACTTTTCAACCCCACCTGAGTAACGGGCTTCGCTCAGCCAAAATTAAATCACCGATGGCAAGGCTATAGTTAAGTCGTCAGCGATGAAAAGGAGAAGAGGGTGGGTAAGCTGAGCACCACAAGGAGGTTTTA